ACACACAAATAGATACACACAGATAACAGGATCCCCCATAGTTGCCAATGTTTTCTGGGTGGTTGTCTTCCCCCCCCACTTCTCATATTTTCCCATGTGTTCTGGGACATCGACGATGAATTGTGTCTGTGTGTTTAGGGGGCCACATGCGAACCCTACCCCTACCCCCCACGATTTCTGAGGGGGAGGGTGGGGTTCGCTTTGTTCGGGAGCTCCCGAGCGAAGTGAACCCCACCCTCCCCCTCAGAAATCGTGGGGGGTAGGGGTGGGATTCGCGTGTGGCCCCCTAGTGTTTCTTTCCCTCCTGAGTGCCGTGCTGCCGCGGCCGTCGCCGCGGCCGCAGCCGCGTCCACCAGCGAGGCCGCAGCGGCGGCCGCGGCGGCCGCCGCGGCGTCGCTGCGGCACCCGCCGCGCGGAAGCTGCGGCAGGTGCAGGTCGAAGGGGGGGGCCCTGGCCGCGACGACGCGCCAAGCGGGATCGTGCCGGGGCCCCTTCGAGAGAGCTCGCAGATGGGGGGGGTTCTGAGCCCAGACCCCTCGAGTTATGAAAAAATCACGACGGGCGGTTTTCCTCAGTTTTCGGCCTCTGGGGGCCCTCACCGGGCCTCGGGAGCGTCAAAAAACTACTCAGGACGAAAAAACGGTCCCGGGGAATGGGTCGAGACCTCGGGGGGTCGACGTCATGAAAAAATCATGACGTCGGGGGTCTGGGGAGGGGAGCAGGCCCTGGGCCCTGGGGCCTTCCACCGGGACCGGTCATCCGTCCAGATTGGCTCTTCGGCGTTCCCGCCCCAGGGGGCCGAAGAGGGGCCAAACATCTGCAGGACCCGTCTCGCTCAGGGTGGCTCCTCGCTTGAGGCCCGCCCGTGGTGGCCTCGCCAAAGGCCACCAGGGGCCCGCCCCCCCCCCTGGCCGACCAGACGACCGTGGCCGCCGGCGTGGAGCACCTGGCGCCCGCCCTGGGCGAGGCGTCGCCCCGCCCCGCCACGCACGGCGGGCCAAGACCAGGCGGGCTGCGGGACAGCGAGCCTGCACCTACAGGTCGACGCCTGCGCCCAGCACGCGCACGGGGCCAGATCACACCAGCTGTCGTGCTGCAAGGGGCGCCGTTGCCCTGCTGTGTGTATGCTGACAGTGACACGGCTCCACGAGCGAGCGCAGGCCCAGGGAAAGGAGGAGGGCGAGGGCCGGGGGGGAGGCAGGAGCAGGAGAGAACCAGAGACCAGCACGCGGCCGTGGGGCGTGAACGGCCCAACTCCAGCGTTGGGCGCGCGCACCGTCCTCCCCCGCAGATTACCGACGCTGTGATGTTTCAATCTGACCGTTTCTCCTCGATTTCGGCCACTGGGGGACAGGGGGGCATCAGAAACGGATCCGGGACGAGGCATTGTTCCCGGGGAAGCGGTCGGGACCTCTGGGGTCGCGATTGAAGCAAAAAACGAATCGGTGAGTGCCAGTGTCTTCAGATCGTGCGCCATGCACGGGTGCAAAAGGCAACCTTTGTTGATTTCCCTAAGTTGTTGATAAATTTTGCGCCTCTTCGGCGCCCCGACGCTCCCAGACGGCCCAATGAGGCTCCCAGGAGGATCCTAGACGGCTAAGCGGCCTCCAAGAAGGCCCAAAAACGACCCAAGAGGGCCCCAAGACGGCCCAAGAGGCCTCCAAGACGGCCATTTTGTTCCCCTCCCGCCTGCTCACTGGCGAGAGGGGTCGAGGGCGCCACCTTTCAACAGGAGAAAGGTCCGCACGGGGGGCCTCAGTGGGGTCCTGCTGGGATCCTCTTGGCGCTCTCTTTCGCCGTCCCGTTGGCCTCTGGAGCCACTTCGGGTTCCTCTCGGGCAGTTTGGGGGCCAGCTGGGGGCCCTGACAGTGCCGTCTGCGGCCGGCGGATGGCGATCTTGGGGGCCTCTGAGCTTGTCTTGGACGCCCCGAAGAGTATCGGCCATCGCCCGCACCTTGTTCGGTAGTGCCTTCGTTCGTTCCGTCTTCCTTCGTTCAATCCGTCGTCGCCGTCGCCGTCGTCGTCGTCGTCGTCGTCGTCGTCGTCGGCGGCGGCGGCAACGTCGTCGTCATCGTCGTCGGCGGCGAGGTCGTCGTCGTCATCATCGTCGTCGTCGCCATCGTCGTCGGCGCCGGTGGAGTAGGAGGAGGAGGAGGGAAAGGAAAATGAGGAGGGGGAGGAGGAGGAGCGGGGACAGAAGAAGGGGGAGGAGGAGGAGGAGGTGCAGGGAGAGGAGAAGAAGCAGCAGCAGCAGGGAGGAAGAGGAGGAGGAGAAGAAGGAGGAGGAGGAGGAGCAGGAGGAGGAGGAGGAGGAGCAGGAGGAGCAGGAGGAGGGGGAGAAGGAACGCGCCACGCGGGACGCCGGCTTCGCGCCCCCGACCCCGCGGGGCGGCCTTGTCGGACGCGCCGCCGCCGGGGGCGACCTGCGCCTCGGAGGCCCTTGTTCCTCCTACTCTCCTTTCTCCTCCTCCTCCTCCTCCTCCTCCTCCTCCTCCTCTTCCTCTTCCTCCTCCTCCTCCGCCTCCTCCTCCTCCTCCCTGCTCCTCCTTCCTCGTTCCTTCGCCTCCTCGTCCTTGTTCTTGCCCCTCCTTGCGCCTCCTTCCTCCTCCGTCTTCCTCTTCCTCCTCCTCGTTCCTCCTCGTTCCTTTCCATCCCTCCTCCTCCTCCTCCTCCTCCTCCACTTCCTCCTCCCCCTCCTCCCCGATCATAATATCATTCGTCTTCTGAGTACTATGCTCGTCTCTTTTGCCGCCATGCCCCTCCATCGCCAACCCTGCCCTCAACCTGCCTCGTTACAGCCGGTGTGCCCCCGCTTGCGATGCTCCCCGCTGCCAAAGCGGACGTCATGTTTCAAGCTTTGCGGAATTCAGCTTAAGCTGGAAGATAACGATGGGGCACCGAGGAGGGAAAAGAAGAGGACGAGGAGACGGAGAGGGGGGAGGAGGAAGAGGATGAGGATGAGGAAGATAATGAAGATGAGGATGAAGGAAGGGTGGAAAAACGGGGGCGAGGGCGAGAAAGGGGCAGCTGGGGAAGAGGAATAAAGGGAGGAGGACGGGAAGTAGGAAAAAGTGATTTGAGCGTCTGGCCTCCAGCTGAGGTGTATCGTTGCCCTACGGTCAGAGGCTGGCATTCGGAATCAGGCGTTCCTTCGAGGTGTGTCCCATCGGTCGTCTTTTCCAGCGGCAGACACCCAGACGGATGGGGTATGGGGGAACGGAAGGATAGCGACAGCAATGACTAGCAATGATGGCGAATCGGGTGAACGGTGCTAGCTTTGGCAAAAGGGACCATGCCATGGCTGCACAAGCGTCGGTTCACACTGGCACCAGGAAGACAAAAACAAAACCAGGTGTGGTGGCATTGATGTAACCACCTTGGTGCCCCGCAACAAACTCCCGAACCGACTTCGCCTTGCTAGGCGCACAAACCGTCTACAGGAAAAGCGACAGTAAAGGCCGACCACAACGTAATCGTAATGTCCCGCCGATATTCCCGATTCACACGCACACGCACTGATTATATATATATATATACACATGTCTAGATGTATGCACATCTAAATCTATATGCCAGAGTGAGGGGGCTGAACCGAACGGTCATCCACTGTCCCTGGGTGCGTGGCTGAAATGGAATTCCGCGATGCGGATTATTATTGTTGTTGTTGTTGTTGTTGTTGTCATTGTTGTTGTTGTTGTTGTTGTTTAAATCTCATTCCTGAACAACCATTATTGTTGAGCCCCCCGTCCGGTACACATTGTTCTTGTTCGATTGAAGTGCCCTTCCCGGGGCTCGCACCCGGTTTTTTATCAGGGACAGTCTTGAGGGTCAAACTGTGTCGTCGGCCCCCGGTTTACAACAACAACGGTTCCCGCCTAGGACTTCCTCACAATTTAGCCAGGACCCCCGCTCCCGCCCGACACTTCCTCGCGTGTTATGCAGGAATCGCGTTCTCGTTTGGGACTTCCTTAAAATGTCTTCTCCCGGCGCTCTGGAGTAGCGATCTCGCTGGGGACTTGCTTGGAATTTACTACAGAATAGCGCCGTTGCGTTGGAATTTCCGGCAATTTGCGCAAGCGCCGCGCTCCCGACACCTAGGCACCCAGGAGTCGCGCTCACGCTTGAGATCCCCTTACAGATTACATAGGAATCGGGATCTGGCTGCCCTTCGTGGCCCCGTTGCAGCCCTTCGTGGCCCCCTCGTTTTGTTTCGTGGCCCCGTTGCAGCCCTTCGTGGCCACCTCGCTGCCCTTCGTGGTCCCGTTGCATTCCCTCGTGGTTTCCTCGCTGCCCTTCGTGGCCCCGTTGCAATCCTTCGTGGCCCCATCGCTTTGTTTCGTGGCCCCCTCGCTGCCCTTCGTGGCCCCGTTGCAGCCCTTCGTGGCCCCGTTGCAGCCCTTCGTGGCCCCGTTGCAGCCCTTCGTGGACTCCTCGTTTTGTTTCGTGGCCCCGTTGCATCCCTTCGTGGCCCCCTCGCTGCCTTTCGTTGCCCCATATATGTATGCCCTTCGTGGCCCCCGATCGTTCGTGCCCGTGGTGGTCCCATATGCATATGTCCTACGTGGCCCAGTTGCTACCCTCAGTGGCCCCATCGTTGCCTTCTGTGGCCCCGCATTATCTGCCCTTCGTGGCCCCCGCTCGTTCGCGATCTTCGTGGCCCCTTACGCATTCCCTCCGTGTCCTCGCTGTTGCCCTTCGTGGCCTACTTCGTGTCCTTGTGGCACTGCTGTCGTTCTCTTTCGCTCTCGCTTTCGCTCGTCGCCGTCATCGTCGCCGTCGTCGTCGTCGCCGTCGTCGTCGACGTCGTCTTCGTCGTCGTCGTCGTCGTGGTCGGTCCCCCTGTCCGTCCCTCTTGGGGTCGGGTCGACGGTCCGCGGCCGCCCCGCCGATCAGCGCTGCCGCTGGCCAGGCCGACGGTCCGCGGCCGCCCCGCTGCTTGCCGGAGCCCGGCCTGCAGGGAAGAAAGGTATACCCCCCAGAAGGGGTTCGATCGAAAACGAAGAGGGCGAGTATCGAGGGTTTGGGAAGTAGGCGTTATTGGACACTCGAACAACTAAGACCGAACACTCTTAAAATGATTGTTGTTGTTGCTGCTGGTGTTGTTGGTGTTGTTGATGTTGTTGTTGCTGCTGCTGCTGTTGTTGCTGTTGAGTCATCATTTCAAAAGAATAATCATTGTTGACCCCCCCCAACGGTGCATACTGCTTTTTCTCAATCAAAGTGTGCCCCTCGACGCTCGCACCTTGTTTTTTGACAGGGGATATCTTCCTTCTCAAACTTGGCCCCTGCCCCCCTGGGTTACAAGAACAACGGCTCTCGCCTGAGACTTCCTTACAATTTAGCCCCCCGCTCCCGCCCGAGACTTCCTCGCATTTTATTTTCTTGCACAGGGTGGTTCCGACCACTTTATTTCGGCGTCGTCGTCGCTCCCCCCCAGCTGCCTTGTGCCCTTCATGTGTCGCGATAGTTGTCGCTGTGTGCCTTGTGCCCTTCATGTGCCGCTATATGTGTCGCTGTGTGTCGCTGTGCGTCTCCATGTGTGCGTCGCTAAGTGTCGCTGTGTGTCGCTATGCGTCGATATGTGTGTGTGTGTCGATCTATGTCTCTATATGTCGATATGTGTCGACACGTGTCGCTATGTGTCGCTCCCCAGAACCCCAGCGCACCGCCCCCTCCGCCCCGACGACTTTATTTCGGCGTCGTCGTCGCCCCCCCCGCCCCCCCCCGCCCTCTCCCTCTCCTCAGCAGCCCAGCGCGCTGCCCCCTCCGCCCCGACCACTTTATTTCGGCGTTGTGTCGACATACGTCGCTGTCCCCAGCAGCCAGCGCAGCGCACCCCCTCTCCGCCCCGACCACTTTATTTCGGCGTCGTCGTCGCCCCCCCCCCTCCTCTCCCTCCCTCAGCAGCCCAGCGCGCTGCCCCCTCCGCCCCGACCACTTGATTTGGCGTTGTGTCGACATGTGTCGCTATGTGTCGCTCCCCAGCACCCCAGCGCACCGCCCCCTCCGCCCCGACGACTTTATTTCGGCGTCGTCGTCGCCCCCCCTCCCCCCCCCTCTCTCTCTCTCTCTCTCTCTCTCTCTCCTCAGCAGCCCAGCGCGCTGCCCCCTCCGCCCCGACCACTTTATTTCGGCGTCGTCGTCGCCCCCCCCGGTCCTTTTCCCCAGCAGCCCAGCGCACCGCCCTGTCCGCCCCGACCGCGTCCCGCGACCGCCCTTTTATTTCGGCGTCGTCGTCGCCCTATTTCGGCGTTGTGTCGACATGTGTCGCTTTCCCCAGCAGCCCAGCGCACCGCCCTCTCCGCCCCGACCACTTTATTTTGGCGTCGTCGTCGCCCTGTTTCGGCGTTGTGTCGACATGTGTCGCTATGTGTCGCTCCCCAGCACCCCAGCGCACCGCCCCCTCCGCCCCGACGACTTTATTTCGGCGTCGTCGTCGCCCCCCCCCCTCTCCCTCTCCTCAGCAGCCCAGCGCGCTGCCCCCTCCGCCCGACCACTTTTTCGGCGGCGTCGTCGTGTCCTGTCCCCAAGCAGCCAGCGCGCCGCCCTCCGACCCGTTTATTTCGGCGTCGTCGTCGCCCCCCCCACCCCCTCTCCCGAGCAGCTCAGCGCGCCGCCCCCCTTCGCCCCGACCACTTTATTTCGGCGTCGTCGTCGCCCGCCCCCCCCCCCCCCCCCCCCCTTCTCCCCAGCAGCCCAGCCCAGCGCACCGCCCCCTCCGCCCCGACCATTTATTCTCTTGCACAGGGTGTCTAGAGCTCCGACCATTTTATTTCGCGTCGCTCCCCCCCCCCCCGCGTCCTCAGCGCCAGAGTGGGGCCCCCGCGCCGTGGCTCTCTGCCCCAAGCCCCCCCGCGTCCCCAGCGCCCCAGCGGGGGCCCCGCCCACTGCCCCCTCCGCCACGAACGCTTTATCCCGCGTCGCCCCCCCCGCCCCCCCGCGTCCCCAGCGCCAGTGTGAGGCCCACGCGCCGTGGCTTTCTGCCCCGAGCCCACCGCGTCCCCAGCGCCCCAGCGGGGGCCCCGCCCACTGCCCCCTCCGCCACGAACGGTTTCTCCCGCGTCGCAGCTCCCCCCCCTCCCCCGCGTCTCCAGCGCCAGTGTGGGACCCCTGCGCCGTGGCTCTCTGCCCCAAGCCCCACTGCGTCCCCAGCGCCCCAGCGGGGCCCCCGCCCACTGCCCCCTCCGACACGAACGCTGTATTACACGTCGCACCCCCCCCCTCCGCGTCCCCAGCGCCAGAGTGGGACCCCCGCGCCGTGGTTCTCTGCCCCGAGCCCCCCCGCGTCCCCAGCGCCCCAGCGGGGGCCCCGCCCACTGCCCCTTCCGCCACTAACGCTTCATCCCGCGTCGCGCCGCACACCACCTCCCCCACCTCCCTCCCCGCGTCCCCAGCGCCCCAGTGGGGACTCCGCCCCGTGCCCCCTCCG